CCGGTTAACGTCATCTATGTTGTTGTTGTTGTTGTTGTTGTTGTTGCTACTGCTGCTGTTGTTGTTGTTGCTGCCCTCGCCACCGTTATCATCGTCTTCCCTGCCCACCCCCTTGTCACCGTTGGTGGTGATGTTTTTATCAGTTGTTATCGCCGTTGTTGTTGTTGTTGTTGTTTTTGTCGCCGCTGTTGATGTTGTCATCTTCGCCGCTGCCAAGTCTGTCACCGCCGTTGGTGTTGCCGCTGTTGTTGTCGCCGGCGTGTTTGTGGTTGATCCTGTCGCTGTCATTGCGATTGCTGTTGACATTGTTGTTATTACGATGGTCGTCACTGCTGTTGTCGCTGTTATCACCCCTCCTTCCCACACCGGTGTAGTCTCAGATGATGTTGATGATGATGCCGCGATTGGTTTCGTACTTGTCACCACCATCGATATGGTGGATAGGGTTTTCTCTTCACGCCACACATATTGATATATGAACACAGACTATATTGGATGCACATTGATATGGTTGATATGGTGGATAGGGTTTTCTCTTCATGTGAGACATATTGATGTATGAACACATACTACATCGGATGCACACTATGATATCTCCACGAATCACTGCATAGGGACGCTGGACCCGATTTTCAGCTCATATACATCACATCATTCTCAAGGGACGCTGGACCCGATTTCCAGCAGGTGCTGCTTCCCACCGATAGATGGAGCCTTCAACGTTGGGCCCTACTTAACGGGGTTGCTCTTATCACTTCGTTAAGTAGGGTTTCCCACAAACGAAGTTAAAGAAAAAAGAAAAAAAAAAAAAAAAAAAAAAGATAAAAGGGGTATAGGTACGGGGTTGTCGCTGAAACCGTCAGGCGGAGGGGCAACCTTACACCTAAGATAGTTATGGGTCGCTGTGGAAGTCGAAAGGCGAAAGGGCGACCTTTGTTTCACATACTGTTAGGCTAAAGTGGATCACCTACATTTAGTCACCGCCAAAGCAAAAAGGTGGAGGGGTGGCATATACCTATATTATTGAAGGATATAATAAAGTCGTTTATACCCGGCTACCACGAAAATCCAAAGATGGCTGAGTAGCCCATGTTTGGATTGGTCTGACTAGATCATGGCTTGCTTATGCGTTCTCATGAGGCACACCGCAGAAGCCGAAAGGTGGATGAGTGAGCCTCTTTCATGCATACTCCTCCTTCTCGTGACACTTACGCCATTGACATAATCAGAGTCTAGAGAAAAGGAACTTCTCCACCTCATCATGTCATTGGGTATGTTCTGGGTGTCTTTTCTTAGCTTAGTCACACAGATTATCGCCATGTGTTGGAGCCCTAGGTAGAATGTGGCTAGATGGTTGGGTTGAGGGCTTGAAGTGGAAGTTAGATCCTGTCGTTCACCTTGTATGGATCTTGGGATACCACTTTCCTATAGGAAAGTGTTGCCCAAACTCCATATTAGATCGATGTCTTAGCCAACTCTCACTTAAGTCGATGAACTTTATCTTCACATTTTGGGTCTATTCATATTCTGGGACCCCACTTCCCTAGGGGAAGTGCTGCCTAATTTTTCTCATCTTTCAATAGGTCTGTAGTTCTGCTTGAACCTCATATAGATGATCACACCGGTAGCAGCGACATTGCGATCGTATTGGCCTGTATATGTGTTACAGGTCATCTTCATCTAGGGATTGTTCTAGAGAGACTTTTCATGAGACCATACGAGACTACATTTTGCTATCCCATGATAGTAGGTCGGTTTGCCGGCTTCACCCTCACCTACTCTTCGATACCCTCACCCTAGAGCAAACCCTACAAGAATGTCATTTCTGTTTTCAGATCGTCGCCTAAACGGTCTGTGTCAGTCTAAGGGGTCCTTGGGTGATTAAGTCGGATGGGAAGATAGACCAAAACAAAAAGGATTGCTTGACTGTGGAAGGTTTGGGGCATGTGCGGGACAAAGAGTGCGAGTGGACAAAGCGTTAATTCTGTGTGTTTTGTGTAATGTCGTTTGATTGTATCCAAAGGTCAGTAAGGTTTCACTTTGATTCTGCTCAGTGGAAAGGACTTGCATTTGTTGTCATGGGCATAGACCCATCAAGGTTTCGGCTTGGTCGTCTCAATGAGATGCATCTTTTTGCTTGCCTGATTTTGGTCTCTCTGTTTAATTGAGAGGCCAAAGGCCTATTGTTCTTTTATGTTCACTACTGGCCAAGAGGCCATCTCCTTTGATACACGTTTAGGGCTATAGAACCCATTATTTTTCTTGTTATTATTTTCAGTTTGTCCTAAATGCAATGACATCTCCTCCGTTTATCTATCTATTATGCGTCGATCAGACCAGGTAAATCTATAGGACGGGTGTGTGGCTTAAGCCCAACTCCTCGATGTGTAAGGTTGGTACTCGATGCACGTCAGAGGTTGACATTGGGTGGCCTTGACCCGACCCGACCGTACCCAGCAGTACCCGACAGTTCTGGACGGGTACGGGTATGGCATGATTAGTATGCACCTGGGCAGCTGGGTCCGAAAATCTGAGGGGGGGATATGTGTCGGGTAGGAAACTGTAGGGTGGGTGGGGTTGGGTGTTGACACAGTGCCTGGACGGTTACGGTCGGGCAAAGGTTTGCCCTGGTTCCGGGTACGGCTGGGTAGAGGTTTCGCGTGGGTGACCCGAGGCCTGTAGGCATAGTAGGCATATTAGGCAAGCCTAGGTAGTATTAAAGCCAGGCCTGACACTTTTTCTTCATTGGGAAGTAGTGGTACCAGTGGGGCGTGCCCCTAGTATAAATTTGTCTCTGGCCGTCTGCCGTTCATTTTAGGGCCGAGGTAGTACTAGGGCTAGCCCGTACTATCAATTTGGCCTGGCCCCAGTTGTTTCATCTTAGGGAATACGACATTCACTTATAAGCTCTGGCCATAATTGCAGTCAGATCCATCGAAATCTGGTTGTAGTTGCGGCCAAATATGAACACGAAAGTATCCCCAACCACTGACCCATTGCCGCCGCCAAAATTTGAAGTGGAGATCTATGGAAGCTAAAGAATCCGACATGCAAAGGCCTAAGTTTAAAATAAAGATAAAAACTAAGCTTGGGTGGAAAATTTTGGGCACAGGTACACCTGGGCACGGGTGGATGGATACTGGGTTTGGGTGCGGCTGGATGAGGATGAACGAAAATTTGGCCTGGGTGTGGCTGAGTATGGGTAGACACTTTTTAAATCACCCTGGGTGGGCTGGGTACGGGTAGAAAAAAAATTATATTAGCGTAGGAGGGTTGGGTCTGGGTAGAAAAAAATGTGTTTACGTGGGTCCAGCTAGATATGATACATCAAGGCTTGGGCTGGGTCGGATATGGGTAGGAAAAAAAATGGTTTTGCAAACTGTGCTGCATGTTGAGGAGATCGCTCACCTATCGAGGATTTAGTCGATTACAAGGAACGCTCCTGTCTCCTTGTCATATTTAAGGTTTCGCAGGTCGGCACAAGTTTTAAGTTAAAGGTCACACCTGGTCAAGGCATAGTTGAGTCGCTAGGTAGAGTTCACGCTACCCAACTTCGGAGTTCAGCGCCCTAAGCAATGAGCCGCGATCGAGCCAAGAGCCTGGGCATATTACCGCGCATTTCCCCTATGCTGCAAGCTGCAGCGACTAAGCAATGCCTCAGGCTGGCCTGCCTCTGGCACGGCATGTAAAGGCCGCTACATGTGGGCTAGTAGCTCGGCAGGGATACGCCTGTCCAAGGATGGTGACAACTCCTTGGGCGGAGGTAAGTTGTCCCTCGCGGTGCCCTGTTCTGTCAAGAAGTATAGCTGGCGCACACGGCCGGAGCTTGTGTGTTTACGACATACCAAGCCACATCCTGCTTGACACGGCCAGGAGGACCCTCGTGCGCGTTGCTCTTTAGGTGTGCGGCGGGGTCGATGCGCCCAACAGCGACCCCTGTCAGCTTGTCGTGTCTGTTCCTACCACCACCTCAAGCTGTTTCAGGGGCTGAAGAACGGCTCAAGATTATCACATGCAGTCAAATCCCATTGGGAGAATGATGCCAGAAACACAAGGGGGGCTGTGAACACAAGGGAGCAGTCTCGGGAAGATCAGCAGACAACTTCTAGGTGGGGGCTGGGTCAGATGTTAAGTAGGAGCCCCACAATGGGAATGGGACCATATGCAGCTCCAAGGGTTACTGTGCTCCAGAGTAGAATAGAACAACTTTAGCCTCAACATTGACCTGCATTGTTGTATTGACCCTGTTTCCAGCAGGTGTCGCTCCCCACCAATAGATGGAGCAGCCCAACAGCCAAAGCCTCAATTCTGGTGGTTCTCTTACCACTGCCGGGATAGTGGCCTTGCAAAAGGGCTTTTGTTTAAACCGCTAGTACACGGCCCCAGCCTTGCAGAAAGTTTTAGTCGCCACAAGCAAAACTCGGAGGCACCATGCAGCCAGACCCGACGTTGAAAAGAAAAATCGGCGACCTCCGAAGTGGTGCGGGTTTCATGCTCTGACACCCACGGGCCGATATGTGGCGTATTGGTGCTTTTATAAAATTAGAAAAAAACAAAACAAAAAAAAGAACACATGACGTTTCTGCTTTTACTCGTACAACCATCGAATGCAGGGCCTGCACACTTTCTGCTCAACAATTCATACTTCATTATTGCCTTACAATTTGCTCGACAAAATAATCATTATTATGCACATGAGTTCGCACCACTAGGACAGAGGTCCCATTATACCCAGATTCTCCATTTTAGACCCTAGATGACACATCTGGGACCGAGGTCCCATTATGCTAAAGTTCGCCCCATGGGACCACGGTCCTACTTACCGAGATTCCTTATTCCTTCCCATAGATCTATTGGGCAGAAATAAGGCATCTAGGTAACTGGGACCTTGTCCCAGACAAGACGCCTGATGTTTTTTTTCTCATGAAAGTTCAAACAGAAAGCGAGCGAAGAAGGATGCACGCTTGAGACCTGCAGATGGCTTATGCAATGCAACAAATGAGAAACCATAGATTTTACTTCAATACCACCCAGTCCATAAATGAAGGACTTTTACAAATCAGGCAAAACTACACCCATAACACCTCTGCTTTCCTGTCAAAGCTCAGCCAGGGAATTAARAAAAAAAAAAAAAAAAGCAAAGGTGGAACGATCAAAAGAATGGAAAGGTGGAAAAAGCATGCATAATTAGCGTACACAGATTCAAAAGAATGGAACACCTGCCATTGTGGATCAGCATATACAGCCTCTTATGAGAAACTCAATCTCGACAGTAGATTGACTACTAACACAACAACAACCACCACTATCGGATCTTGCTGCGCAAGGAGCTGATCCGAAACCACCCGACGTCTCAAGTAGAGATTGGAAAGACTGCAAAACCTGCCGTCACGGGAATACCAAGACATCCATAGCAGGGTCAGACTATAGTGTCTCTTATCCGAAATTGACTGTCAAGTCATCAACTATCACAGCAACAACCACCACCATTGGACTTTCGTAGGCAAGGAGATTCCCAACCACCAGAGCTCCCTAATCGAGCACGTCCTTTCTCCAGGTGGCACCTGGCCACTCCAGGGCCTAACGATGGATGGAGCTACAGAGAAGTACAGGCTTATCAGATCGAACAATCTTTGCATGCTGCAGGTGACATGAAAATCGATCAATTATTCAAAGCACGAACCAACCAGCCAAAGCAAGGCCAGTACAACAAGCTCAACTGCGATGGACCAGCAACCAGAGAGAAACAATACTGGATACGAGTAACGGACGGGATCACAGTCCAGCCGTGCGTTGTGGAGTTTTGCTGTCCAGAGTAATCTCCCTCATAACTTCTGCTGCTCTTGCTGCTGTCTTCCCTTCCTCACCGCGATCGTGAACGTACCTTGCAGGATGCGAATAACGGATGGAATAAAAGCCCAGTTGTGCGTCATGGAGGAGTTTTCCCGTTCAGAGTGATCTCTCTCATAACGTCTGCTGCTCTTGCTGTTCTCTGCGCTTCCTAACGGTGATCATGAATCTACCTTCCAGCCGCCCGTGCTTGCAGGATGCGAATAACGGATGGAATAAAAGCCCAGTTGTGCGTCATGGAGGAGTTTTCCCGTTCAGAGTGATCTCTCTCATAACGTCTGCTGCTCTTGCTGTTCTCTGCGCTTCCTAACGGTGATCATGAACGTACCTTCCAGCCGCCCGTGCAAACTATAAAACCTGCTACACACTCACCAATGTCATCTGAGTACAGAAAAACAATGACATCCCGCCCCACCACCCTGTTCTTTGGACAGAAGGGGGAAAAGAAAGGGGAGGTAGGACTAGCTCCTCAACTTCCTGTATGGACAGGAAATGACTCTGGTTCAGGATTTACTTTAGGTAGCTTGTACCATTCGACCGCCAAAACAATGACATGCCGCCCCACCATCCCGTGCCTTGGAGAAAAGGGGGGAACCCTCAGGCCATCATCTTCTGCCCTGGAAAGGGACGCCTTTTTCATTCTTGAACAAGTCGGGCAATCTCCAATCGGAAGTAGTGGGTAGTGGACACCAGGCTGATCCACTTACTTCACACATTTGTGACTCTAAATCCTTGTGAAGCTACCCTTAGGCTACCACCTGCCTCAGTGTTTCTCTTGCCGACTAGAGAAGAGAAATGGGAATCAGCAAAGTGTGACCCTGCCGGTACAAAGACCTACCAATGCTAAACAAAAAACTAGAAGAGTTTTCTGTTGCGTCAAGGGATGCAACACGAATGTGAACGAGGGTGGTTGAAGGCCCCGTACAAAGACCTACCAATCAGAACAGAAACCCTACAAGAGTTTCCGGTTCGGTCAAGGGGTGCAACACGAATGTGAACGAGGGCGGTTGACAGCCCCATACAAAGACCTACCAACGAGAAGAAATAAAAACCTTAGAAGAGCTTTCTGTTCGGTGAAGGGGTGCAACACAAACGCATTCACGAGGGCCGTTGACACCCACATTTCACCATCCCAAAGGCAAGCCCACAAGATAAATGTATAACCCACAGAGCATAGGCCCTTTCCTTCCGCCATCATAGTTGGCCAGAATCCTCTCACCCCACACACCTAGTCTTCTGAAAACTCGTCTCAATGGCAATCTGGCAGCACAGCAGCATCAATATTTCAACTGTGCACTATGCAGAGGGTAAAGATCTGAACCCAATCGGCCCACAGACTAAGAAATGGACCCCCATCAATGTGCAAGATCTCCCTTCACCAGCTAAAAAATGCAATCTATGGAGGCAGGCAGGCTACTCCATGAGACATCAAGGTCATCCATATCAGTGGTCTACAAGGTCCTCCACAGAGATGAAGAAAGTACCTAAAGAAGGCAGTGACGCATAGCCTTAAGAGCCTAGCAATCATGTGACAACTCCTCGTGTGAATACTGAAGAAAACCACAAACTCTTGTGGGAATTATGAGAAAAGTTAGAAAACCACATGAAACTCAGCTCCCGTAAATGGACAGCAATCACGCCTCAGCGAGCGGTCAACGGCTTCTGAGCAAAGCGGAATGGGGGAAAAAAAATGCAACCACGTTTACAATCGGTTAAAAGACAGAAACCTGAGAGGCATCCACTTCCCTTTTCATCAGCCTAGCAGCACATGGACCCCCGCACACATCTCACTCAATCTCCACACTCTCCATCGTATCCGTAAGCCCCTTGTGTTGCACACCGTACATGGCGAGTACCTGGTTGCTAGCGGTGAAAAATGCCCTCGCAAACTTCTCCTTGCACTCTGCTAGGACATCAGACTGCTGCCCACTGCAGAAGGAACACCCGGCAAAATGCGTTACGAATGGCGGCGTTAGTCCGTCCCTCGGGAAGGTGTCTTTCGGCCGAACTTTGCCAGGATCGGCCCATTCCGTACTCTTCCAGAAGCCATTCAATGTATAACCCTCCTCAAATCCAGTCCTTGCACGCCATTTCTTGCTCTTCGCCAGCAGGTACGCAAAAGCCGTCTGGTCGCCTAGCCAGGGAGGTGAATTCGCAACCATCCTACGCACGGCTCTCTGAAACGTCACATTCGTTTTGAACTGCTGCTGTACTCGAACGAGTGTGTCCAGAAGTTTCCATGACCATTCCGAATTTCGGATCAAGAGGATGCCTGCATTGAAACCCAGGTAATGGCCTATTTTATTGGGGCTCCCCACCACAACCAGATCAAGACCATTGTAACGTTTCCAGGGGATCTCAAAGAGCATATCAGTAATTAATGCATCACTATCCAGCCAAAAAAACCATTTGACAGCCTTGTGCACTCGCATTGCTCCACGCAGCACTGCAATCTTGTTCCAATTCCCAGTTAGATTCATATCGACGTTTTCCATCGGATAAAGTACCTGAAACCCATGCAACCTCGCATAATCTACTTTATTCTTAAGAGACCGCAGAAGGATCAGGTTACCATCTGCATCCGCACAGTGGGGTTGTGAGCTGGTCACAATCATCACGTCGGGGTTGTTTTCACATAGGAAGTCGTCGCTCAACTCCCCACCACTTGGTGTCCATGTATTTGTAATACTCAGACACAATTCAAATACAACAAACACAGTGGCGACAGCCATAACGGCATAAAGTAGCTGTAGCCTCATTCTCATGTTTCTTGTTCTCTTCTGTAAAATTTTGTTTTCTTTCGTTTTCTACAAGCCCTTCTTCACATGCTCCCCCTCCCCCTCCCCTCTTCCCCCCCCTCTCCTTCTCCTAAAGAATTGCAGGTCAGACTTCACACACAACTGACCGTGTCGACCGAATATGCTGTACGGAGAAGGCAGGCATCACACTTACTCACAAGGATGCTAGCCAGCACACACTCTACTCAGCCCTAGTGCATGTCTGACTCGTTGCTCAATCGCCCCATCGGAAGCCAGAGCAAGACCTCGATGATTCTGGGTTTGAACACGCTTCTATTTTTTTTCATATGACAGCGTAAATGCACCATATGATACGATCAGAGTATGAAAAATGTGGGCACTCTTGTAGTAGCACGAGTGGAGGAAGGCCTCCAGCCTGCAAAAGGTTAAACCGCCTCATGAGACAGGATAGATCTGCCGTCCATGTTGGGTCACAGAGATCACTCCTCACTGCGATGAAAGCCCCGTTCTCACAAACTTTGCCATGCACCAGCCAGAGGCAGTCCCCAGCGAACTCCGTAACCGACCCTGTCAGACGAAAAAGATGAGCACACCAAAGGTGGATCCACAAATAAAACCACACCTAATTATGATGATGATGATTGATGATGATAGGAACCAAACATCATTTCATCCACAACAACACACAAAGACAGGAATAGACAGAGCAAACGCACACCCATCAGAGTCGAGCAACCACACTGTTTTGCAAGTTTCACATGCTATGAATGCATTCCATGTACACACTGTGAACAACAACTCCCCGCTGGATGATAAAAACGGCCCATAGCTATCATCCTGAACTGCAAAAAGCAGCAGAAATCATGAGCAAACACCTTGTCCCTTATCGTTTGCAACTCCTCAACGAGGGGCAGACAGGTGCAGGGGAAATTAAGTGATCTTCCACATACCTTGAAGAACCCCTTTTCCTCTGCAAATGCTCTTATCTCATCAAGATGTCATTGACTCCCCTTCCCCCCCCACCAGACAACCCTTTTCTACTTCTCTGCCTGCTGATCCTGACTGATATTGTGTTCCGGGCTAGGCTACCAGCCAGGGCACCCGGGTCACCCCGTTTTTGCGAGCGGCCTGGCCGTGAAAAAAAAACAAAAAAAAAAAGGACCAGGGAAGGTCTCAGCAAAAAAAAAAAAAAAAGCAGAAAAATAAACTGAACAACTTTTGCCTCAGGGTCACATCGTACTTCTTTACCAAATTTAAAAAAAAAAAAAAAAAAAACTAATTAAAAAATATTTATTTATTTAAATTATTTTAGTTTTTTTTGCCCGGCCGGGCAAGTGGTCCCGGGCCACTCTGGTAGCCTAGGTTCCGGGTTCATTTTCCAGGTCACCTTGCATTTCGCCACGACTTCCTCCTGCAACCTACGTCGTCAAATCTCCCTCCTCTGTCTGCCACAGAGCTCGATAACAAACAAGTTCCTTTCTGTTCCTCTCCCAGTCTCTCTTGTTCCCCTTTTTTTTTTTTTTTTTTTTTTTTTTTTTTTTTTTTTTTTTTTTTTTTTTTTGGAAGAACCCTTGTGGAAAGCCTCTATCCCAGTGGCGGTAAGAGAGCCACCGGAATTGAGGCTTTACCTGACAGGCTGCTCCATCTATTGATGGGGAGCATCACCTGCTGGAAACCGGGTCGAGCATCCCTTCAATACATCGTAATTTTTCTGTGAAGGCAAAAGCCAAACTTGGGACAGTGTAGAGGGTGTCTTCCTGCCAGCATTGGTTACCCTGAGTTCCAGGGGATCGACTGAGCAGGGCAGGAGATGGGTCAGGAGGCATGCCATCGCCTTGAGTGCGGGGGCCACTGGGCCAAGGGTTCTCTGCTCCATCTATTGGTGGGGAGCATCACCTGCTGGAAACCGGGTCCAGCGTCGCTTCGATACCTCGTAATTTTTCTGTGAAGGCAAAATCCAAACTTTGGACAGTGTAGAGGGTGTCTTCCTGCCAGCATTGGTTACCCTGAGTTCCAGGGGATCGACTGAGCAGGGCAGGAGATGGGTCAGGAGGCATGGCATCCCCTTGAGTCCGGAGGGCACTGGGCCCAGGGTTCTCTAGCTACACCCCCCCCCCCCCCTCTCAAGTGATGATGTTAGTAAGAGCTGAATAGGAACTGAATGAGAGCTGAAAAGGACTGAGAAGAACCAAGGCAAGCTAAGCAAAAACTAAGAAAAGTAAGAAAAAACTAAGAAAAACTAAGAAGAGAATTGGATAAAGCGAAGATGGGTGAAGGAAGGCTAAGAAATGCACGCACTATTAAGAAATCTTAAGTCTTACTGTGTTGATACTGTGATATTCTGATCTGCCGTACAGGCAAAAAACTCGATCTCTATCGATCTCTGTCCCTCTTTGCTGAGTCCTGCACCTGCTGGCAATTGCATTGTCTCTGTTGCTAGTCCTCTCCTTGCTCGATCTCTGAAAATGACAGCGGGTGGGGAGGGAAAGGGTCCCCAAAATCCTGTGCAGGTCTGAGTGGGATCTCCAGCTTAATGTCCATCCAGTCCTGAAAATGCAGCTTGTAGTCTCGTCTCATATCCCTCCGGGGATCCTCCTCTTCTTCCGGGCGTTGCTCCGCCTGTGCGTCCGCTGACCACATTTCCTTTGCTATCCACCCTCCTCTCTTCCCTCCCCATCCAATCTTCGCAGAAAAGGGAGATGATTCGATCAGCGTCTCCCCTGGAGTGGACGCTGTCCAGTTTCTCTCGGGCCGCCTGCCAGCGGATGGTAATCTTACTCTGTACCAGTTGTTTGATCTGTTCCGTCACTTCCCCCTCCTCCACTCTCGCCCCCTCCATCTCCAGGACACACCTTCTCCACCAAATTACCCAAAGTATCGATCTTCTGCCCAGACGGAAGAGGTTCTCAGCAAACGTATTCTCCGGGGCATTTGGCCGGTGCCCCAGTAAGATCGCCCTCCAGTCCCATGGCCACGGTGAGTCCGGAACCATCTGCTGCCAAATCCTGTCCCACCATCGCCACAGCAGCACCGACGAAGGGCATTGCATGAAGATGTGCTCTACCATCTCAGATCTTTTCTGTGGGGGGAAGTTACTCGAACACCTTCAACACCATGGCAGCGCGCGACCTTGCTCTTCTAGTCGGGTGTGGTCAATCAGCCAGTCATTTGTGGGTAGGCAACGGTGGAATATTTGCCATTGCAGCGAGGAAATTTTTGCTGGTCTCAACTTGTATTCCTGGAACAATTCCACTCCCCGGGGTCCAGGGTTAGATCCGCAATGGGGTTCATTGGTCTATATACCCTCCATCCTGTATCCTCCTCCAAGGCCCTGCTGCGGTAGACTTCATTTCTCCTGGTGGATTTCTGCTCCCGGTTAGCCGGTCTTCTTTTCCTTTCGCGTAGTATTCTACCAGCGCATCAACTCGCCCCACCTTTTGAATCCGTCCCACCTGGTCCACCTCCCCTGGCAACCCCACCCAGTCTCCTTTCTCCGGATAAGGGCCTTTCCTCCTATCAGTTCATCCGCGCTTCCTGGGTTAGGTGGCAATAGCACAGGCACCTCCACATACTTTTGATGGTCTTCCAATCCTTGGCTTCCGCATCCCACAGGTCCCCTACCCGAAGAACCCCATGCTTCACCCCCTCCTTCCATGGAGGGTCAGAACTGTTTCTCACCTGGCCGCGGGAATCTGTGATCCACTTGTTGCCGAAAAGGGGCTGTCTATAAATCTCTTCCCACCTATCTAGGGTTGGCCTGGAGGGCAACAGCAGTTTCCTCCATGCCTTAAGAGGCGCGGCCAGTGCTCTTCTACCGAATCTTCGTTCCTGTATTTGCACGGGATACGCCAGTATCTGTCCTCAAGCCACACCAACGGATCAATTTCAGGGCGAATTTCCGGGGCAAGATCTGCTATTTGTGCCAAGGCTAAGGGGATCCAGGGGGAAGAGGGTGAAAAGATAAAAGTCTGAACCCGTCGTAAACTGAGGGCCTGAAGCTGGGTAGCGGGGTTTATGATCCCAAGTCCTCCCCGACTGATTGCCTTTGGGACCCTGTTGTTCCCTCTCCACAGGAAGGCTGCTAGTTGCCTCTTGAGGGCCCTAAGCCCGTGCTTGGTCAGGGACCACAACACCGACTTGTACCACATGGAGGCCAAAACTACGTTATTAATCACTAGGGCCCACCCATAAAGCGATGTGTGCTTGTTATCCCATACTTGCAGCTTGGCCTGTGCAGGGGATGTAATCCAATCATCGTTGGAGGCGGGTTTTCCTCTTGATGCCATTGATGCTCCTAGCACTCGCAGGGGTGCCCCGGGGGTAGCCATGGAATGCGCAGGGTTTCTGGGGTCTTCCTCCTTGATGATGCAGCCACCATCCCACCGTTTTCTCGATGTTGTTGTACCCTCGCCTTCTTACCGCTGTCTTTGCTGCAAAATCCTGATGTGGCTTTTCCATGACGGGCTTGCCCAGCCCGAATCCCGCACCGCACCAATCTCCCAGTGCGGGGCCCCTTGGGGAACGAGCTATGGTCGTCGTCCGCCTGACTGTTTTTCTTGATGACGTCCCTTTTCTTCGATGTCTAGCACCCGCCTCCGGCTGCCATGAAGACACAGATCCGCTGTGGCGACTATTCGCCTCCTGCAGGTCTTCACCTGATTCCGGAACCCCACCGTTAACGTGTGAGGAACTTTTTCCCGTACCCAAACTATCTCCCGTAGCCCCCATTTTTTGTTAAATCAGCTGCCCTCTCCCTCCCCCTTCTCTCTTTTTACTGAGTACCGGCCATTCAGGCCCTCCCGAACCCAAGAAGACGTTCCCTTTTCCTCTCTCTTTGAATCCAGGCATGTACGTAGGAATTACGCGCGCCTTAGAGAATGCGCTGTGAATTTTGTTGGGCGGTTGGGAATTCCGGGATTTACGAGCATCTTTTTCGTTGACGTGCCATTTCTTGCATAGAGGATCTCTCGTACACGCACTGGAAAGATCAATGAACTCTCGGTGGGCAAATGGATAGACGTAGGATCTATTTTTTTTGCGCGCTCAAATCCACGCGTCTGTGTAATAGTTGAATTTCGCATTCTTGAAATGGTTTGAAGCAGGAACGCAACTGTTTTCGACGTCATTTTTCTCCCAAGTACTAGAGCGGCACCTTCAAGATTCTCCTTCCCCCCCCCCATTTCGCTCGTCCCGCACCATCTTCCCCCATCTCTTCTTTGCGCCTTCTCCTCTTCGCGTGTAACTGT